ATTTATAACACTCCCCCTTGGATGTTCATTAAAAGATAATGTGCCTCATTAAAACCTTACTAGGAAAAATCACGTGGGAAAAAATCCTAGTGAAGGAAAAAGAGTACGCATATTTAGTAATACGCATTACTAGGTGCCTCATTAAAAACCTTATAAGGAAAACCCCATGGGAAAAAACCTTAGTAAGGAAAAAAGAGTGCATCGCGTATTTTACTCCCCCTGATGAAAACCTTGTTTCAAATATTTGAGTCTCCGCATTCCAATCTTGTATACCATCTTCTCAAAAGTAGAAGTTGGCAAAGATCTAGTGAATAAATCTGTTGGATTATCACTTGAACGGATTTGTTGCACATCATTGTCACCATTTTTCTGAAGGTCGTGTGTGTAGAATAATTTTGGTGAAATGTGCTTCGTTCTATCTCCTTTTATAAATCCTCCCTTCAATTGGGCTATGCATGCAGCATTGTCTTCGTATAAAATTGTGGGTCTTTTCTCACATTCCAAACCATATTTTTCTCGAATAAAATGAATTATTGATCTCAACCATACACATTCCCTACTTGCTTCATGAATAGCTATTATCTCAGCATGATTTGAAGAAGTAGCAACAATAGATTGATTTGTGGAGCGCCATGATATGACAGTACCTCCATATGTAATCACGTACTCGGTTTGAGATCGAGCTTTATGGGGATCAGATAAATAACCTGCATCTGCATAACCAACAAGATCTGCACTATCTTTGTTAGCACAAAACAAACCCATATCAAGAGTTCCCTTTAAATATCGCAATATATGCTTAATCCTGTTCCAATGTCTTCGTGTAGGAGAAGAACTGTATCTTGCTAGTAAATTAACAGAAAATGCTATGTCAGGACTTGTAGCATTAGCAAGATACATTAGTGCACACTGAGATAGGGTACTTCGGGACCAAGGAGTTCCTCATCCTCTTCTGGAGGTCGGAACAAATCCTTATTCACTTCAAGTGATTGAACAACCATTGGTGTAGTCAATGGGTGCGCTTTGTCCATGTAAAAGCGTTTTAAGATACTTTCTATATATGCAGATTGATGGATAAAGATCCCGTCTGCTAAATGTTCAATTTGCAGACCAAGACAAAGTTTTGTCTTTCCAAGATCTTTCATCTCAAATTCTTTCTTAAGATATTCAATTGCCTTTTGGAGCTCTTCTGGAGTTCCAACAAGATTTATGTCATCAACATAAACAGCAAGTATAACAAATTCTGATGCCATTTTCTTTATAAAAATACATGGCCAAATAACATCATTTATGTAACCTTCTTTCAGCAAATATCCACTAAGGCGATTATACCACATGCGCCCAGATTGCTTTAAAACCGTACAAAGATCTTTGTAATCTAATTGAATACATTTCCTGAGATTTTGAATTCGCTTCAGGCATTTTAAATCCTTCAGGTATTTTCATATAAATTTCATTATCAAGTGAACCGTACTGATAAGCTGTAACTACATCCATTAGATGTATTTCAAGCTTTTCATGTAGTGCTAAACTGATGAGATATCGAAATGTTATGGCATCCATAACAGGTGAATATGTTTCATCAAAATCAACTCCAGGTCGTTGTGAGAATCTTTGTGCAACAAGGCGAGCTTTGTATCTTTCAACTTCATTTTTATCATTCCTTTTTCGCACAAAAACCCATTTATGACCAACTGATTTTATACCAGCAGGTGTTTGGACTACTGGTCCAAAGACCTCTCTTTTAGCAAGTGACCTCAATTCCGACCGAATTGCCTCTTGCCATTTTGGCCAATCAGATCTTTGTCGACATTCTTCGACAGATCGAGGTTCAAGATCCTCACTATCTTGCATAATATTAAGTGCAACATTATATGCAAAAATATTATCCACCACTATTTCAGATCGATTTAAATTAATCCCATCACCGGTCGAACTTATTAAAAATTCCTCACTTACATGAGCTTCGGGTTCATTGATTTCTTCAGGAATCTCAGAACTAATCAGATCATGGGTCTCTTCAGGAGATCCTTTCATAGTATCGTTTTGATCATTTGTCGATTTTCTTTTTCAAGGATTTCGATCCTTAGAACCTAAAGGCCTACCACGCTTCAGGCGTGCTTTAGGTTCACTAGCTCTCTTGCTAGTAGATGGTCCTACTGGGACATCAATTCGGATAGGCACATTCTCTGCAGGGATATGTGACTTAGTTATCCTTTTAAATTAGTAAATGCGTCTGGCATTTGATTTGCTATATTTTGTAAATGGATGATCTTCTGGACCTCCTGATTATATACAGGGGTACGTGGATCAATGTGAGATAATGATGAAACTTTCCACCCAATTTCTCTTTTGATTTCCTTTTTCTCTCCCCCTAATTGTGGGAAATTTGTTTCACCAAACCGACAATCTGCAAATCAAGCAGTAAATAAATCTCCTGTCAATGGTTCAAGATAGCGAATAATAGAGGATGATTCAAACCCAACATATATTCCTATCCTTCTCTGTGGTCCCATCTTACTGCGCTGTAGTGGTGCTACTGGCACATATACAGCACATCCGAAAATTCGTAGATGGGCAATATTTGGTTCATGACCAAAAACTAATTGTGACGGAGAAAATTTATTATAATGTGTCGGTCTGAGACGGATAAGTGATGCTGCATGCAAGATAGCATGGCCCCAAACAGTAGTGGGCATTTTTGTTTTTATAAGTAGTGGTCTCGCTATCAATTGCAGGCGTTTAATAAATGACTCTGCAAGGCCATTTTCAGTATGAACATAAGCTACAGGATGTTCAACTTTTATCCCAACTGATAGACAATAATCATCAAAAGCTTGATATGAGAATTCTCCAGCATTATCAAGGCAAATAGCCTTTATAGGATAATCTGGGAATTGTGCCCTTAATCGAATTATTGGGGCTAATAGCTTTGCAAATGCCAGGTTGCGAGATGATAGTAGGCACACATGAGACCATCTTGAAGATGCATCTATTAGGACCATAAAATATCTAAACAACCCACTTGGTGGGTGAATAGGTCCACATATATCCCCATGTATACGCTCTAAAAAGGCAGGAGATTCAATGCCAACCTTCATTGGTGATGGTCTAGTGATCATTTTGCCTTGATAACAAGCATCACAAGAAAATTCGTCATTTGTAAGAATCTTCAGGTTCTTTAATGGAGGCCCACTCGAATTTTCAGTAATTCGTCTTATCATTATTGATCCAGGATGGCCCAAACGGCCATGCCAAAGCACAAAAGTATTTGAATCCATAAACTTCTGGTTTACGATAGAGTGTGCTTCAATTGTACTAATTTTTGAATAGTATAAGCCAGAAGATAAAGTCGGTAACTTTTCTACAATGCATTTCTGGCCAGAAATATTCTTTGTAATACAAAGATATTCCACGTTCATTTCATCTATTGTCTCAACATGATACCGATTTCGGCGGATATCTATAAAACTCAACAAGTTTCTTCGGGACTTGGAGGAGAACAATGCATTGTCTATAATAAGTTTTGTTCCCTTAGACAGAAATATAATGGCTCTTCCGGAGCCTTCAATCAAACTTATATTACCAAAAAATGTTGAAACATTTGCTTTTTCCTTATGCAAATAAGAAAAGTATTTCTGATCCTTGAATATGGCATGAGTTGTTCCACTATCAATAACACAAATATCTTCATGATTTGTCTTTGATCCAAACATAATTTGAGGATTATCGATATTCTTCAAAATGACATAAATAAAATATATTATAGTAAACATCATTATCAAAGCATAACTTTTATTTATGTACTACAATTACATAACCATACTATCTATTACAAACAACAAAAATTAAAATATTTACATTTCTACAGATTCACCACTGATTACATGACTTGTTTCTCTTTCTGGGAGTGCAAAGTAATCAGCTACATCCAAATGCATGAAGTCTAAATTATCTTCAGAAATAAAATTTGCTTCAGCATTTTTCTCTGTCTTCTTTAGGGAGGCTTGATATAGCTCAACCAGGTGCTTTGGCGTACGGCAGGTACGTGACCAGTGCCCTTTTCCTCCACATCTATAGCATGCATTTTCTGTATTTGGTGCTTGCACCGCTTCATGCTTTTGTTCCTTCCTTTTTCACTGCTGGTGGCGAGGAGGGTTCTTTGGTGCATTATTATTACCATGATTAGAGTTTCTTCCCCGACCACGGCCATGCCCACGACTGGGGCCACGACCTCTTCCATGTCTAGCTTGGTGGAAGTTCGTCTCATTCACTTCAGGGAACGGACAAGAACCAGTAGGTCGACTTTCATGATTTTTCATTAATAGCCCATTATGTTGCTCGGCTATTAGAAGATGTGAGATAAGTTCAGAATACTTTTTAAATCCCATCTCTCGATATTGCTGCTGCAGGAGCATATTCGAGGCGTGAAAAGTGGTGAAAGTTTTCTCCAACATATCAACAACAACAACAACTACCTAGTAAAATCCCACCAAGTAGGGTCTGGGGAGGGTAATGTGTACGCAGACCTTACCCCTACCCCGATAGGGCAGAGAGGCTGTTTCCGATAGACCCTCGGCTCAGAAACATGGAAATAAGAAAAACAACAAAAGACAATTCATTAGTAACTCCAGTAGAAATCGTAATAGTAACAGAAGCATAACAATTAAAAGATGGATGACATGCAATAACAGTAACCAGGCCCGGGGCTCAGATAAACAGCAAGTATAGTGTGTATTCAACATAAACTGCAAGCCATCTAAGGCCAACCCTAATCCAACCCCGCCTCACCCCTGGAAAGAAGTAAGAAAAGTTCTACTACCCCCTAACCTACAACCCTAATGCTTGACCTCCAGACCTTCCTATCAAGGGTCATGTCCTCGGAAATCCGCATTCGTACCATGTCCTGCCTGATCACCTCTCCCCAATACTTCTTAGGCCTCCCTCTACCTCTTCTCGTACCCACCACGGCCAACCGCTCACACCTCCTTACCAGCGCATCAAGGCTTCTCCTCTGCTTTCTCCAACATATCATGATCAGTAATATTATCACCATAGAATTTCAATTGGGAAATATTCTGAACATAGCAGAATTATACTCTCTTATAGATTTAAAATCTTGTAGCCTTAGATGAGTCCAATCATAACGTGCCTGTGGAAGAACGACCATCTTCAGGTGGTCATATCTATCTTTCAAATTATTCCACAGTGTGACTGGATCTTTAATAGTGAGATATTCCATTTTCAGACCCTCATCAAGGTGATGGCGTAGGAATATCATTGCTTTGGCACGATCTTGATTTGATGCGTGATTTTTATCCTTGATGGTGTCTGCCAGAACCATCGCATCAAGATGAATTTCAGCATCAATCACCCAAGACATGTAGCTTTTGCCCGGTATATCTAGGGCTACAAATTCAAGTTTGGAAAGATTTGACATTATATAGAAAAAGAAAGTTCGTACCTCAGATACTTTCAAAGTATTTGCTCGAGATGGCAGAGTCTCGTGCTGATAACGTGTTATAAAATAAAGACTGTAAAGTAAAGACAAGTATAGAGAGAAACTGATATATTATTCGAATTCAAACTGATGTACATAATGAACTGAAATCTCTTCTATTTATAGAAGAAAGGAAGCTGTTGTGTAAGCTGCTACTGCAAGCTGCTGTGTAAGCTGCTACTATACCAAATATGGATAATCTTCTACTGAGAATAATGTTTATCCATAACGGAGTACTAAAAGGATAAGCTCATTGTACCAGGTATAGATAATCTTCTACCGGGGGTAATGTTTATCCATAACGGAGTATCGAATGGATAAGCTTATTATACCCGGTATGGATAATCTTCTACCGGGGTAATGTTTATCCATAACCAGGTACCGAAGTGATAAGCTTCTTCAGGAGGCTTATTTCCAATAGAGTACTAAATAGATAAACATATTTACGGTGGAGTCCCATATGGATAAGCTTCTTCAGGAAGCTTATTTATAACGGATTACTAAATGAACATCCATAATATAATATATTTATAACACTTAATTTTTTTTTTCTTTTTTCTCTTTCAAATATTTGTTCCTTTTAATTGTCAACCAATAAAGGGCAAGGGGGCAACAACAATTCTTCAAACACATAGTAGTAAGTAGGGTTATATATAAATCGGGTTGGTTAGAATTTTTAATTACCAAATCAAACCAATGATATCGGGTTTTTAAATCAATAAACCAAATCAAACTAATAAAGTCAGGTTTTTCAATACTACCTTGGTGCACTAGATTTGCAGTGGCGGAGCTTACCATAGGCCAGGGGTGTCAATTGACACTCCTTGCCGGAAAATTACACTATTTAATTTGGTCCAGTTGTTTTTTTATATACATATATATTATATGTTGAATCTCTTTAATTTTTTTTTTTTGAATTCTACATTTTTATATTTTGACACCCCTTAATAAAAATTTCAGTTGTACATCGCAGAGATCACCAACTGAAAATTTTGCTTTCTCTCTCTAGCTCCCATGCCCTCCGGCGCACGTTAGTCAGACATACGCCCACCGTGGTAATGGCGCGGGGGAGAGGACGAGCTCGCAGAAGACCTAGGTTGCAACCTTTAGCTGGTATCAGTAAACCAGTTGAAGCTCTCATGCAACCAGAGAAAACACCAACAGCTGAAATAGTAAAATCTCCTGTTCCATTGGATGACGCAAGGACGAAACAATATGAAAGTGAAGTCATGATACAAGGGCCTTCTAAGAGGTTGGATCTGAGTATTAGTCCATCACTAAGCGGCCAAAAAGACAAATCAACTGGGAAATTTGAAGATCTAGCGAGTACAACCAAATCTATACTAGATCTAGAACCAATAATTGAGAAGAAAGGGACAACTGAAGCATGCACCTCGCTATTTGCAGGTAACTATAGCTCTGAGAATGGGTTAAAGTTATCCTACATTCCCTCAAAAATTGTTGATGGAAAAACTGTGATGCAACTAGAAAAAGAGGATGTTGATAAGGAAATTCTGAAATGGAGATGTGCTTTAATTCTGTATGTAATTGGGGAAACTCCGGGATATAGCTATATGCATAGACTTGTAAAGCAAAGCTGGAATCAAGTTGCAGAGCCAGAGGTATTCTACCATGAAGAAGGCCACTATGTAATCAAATTTTAGTCTATAAATGATATGCATGAAGTCCTCTATTCCAGTCCCTATACAGTTAATAACAAGCCTCTTATCCTGAAACCATGGATTGTGAATTTTGACTTTATAAAGGAATTCCTCACTGAAATTCCTCTGTGGGTGGTTCTGTCAAACTTTCCTATGAGTTGCTGAGGTGCTCAATCACTGAGCAGAATTACAAGTGCAATAGGAAAACCTTTGTATGCTGATGAATGCACTTCCAAGCAAAAGAAGATCTCATATGCTTGTATGCTAATTGAAATCAATGTTACTCGGCCACTTCCCTCTAGTGTCACTGTGTGGGAACCTGATGTGAGACAATTTGATCAAGTGATAGAGTATGACAGGAAATCAGAATTTTGTGAAGTATGTTTGAAAATTGGCCACTCTTGCAAGCAAATTGAGACAGAGCAGCACCAATTTGAGCAGCCTAAAAGGAGAAGGAGACCAAATGCCAATGCACAACCGGCTCCACAAGCAGGCCCACAACCAATGGTAAAGGTGATCAAGGAATGAAGAACAAAGAAGACTGCTGAAGTGAGGGAAAAGCTTACTGAACTATCAGAAGCAAATAAGACAACTACAGAGAAGTATGATCAACAAGTGCTTGAGCAAGGACAACAACCTCTACCAAGATGTGAAGAGTAGACAATGGTAAGAAGCAATGAGACTTACAAGGAGGACCGGATACCTCAAAGAAGCCCTGAACTGAGCTGTATCAGGGAGTTTCCAGCTTTGACTGCCAGTGTGCAAAGAGGAAGTACAACAATAGGGAAATCAAGTAGGAATGGGACTCAGAAATGCTTGCCTACAGCAGATACTTGGCCTCCTATAATAGCCTAATGACCTGGGTAGTATGGAATATTAGAGGAATTAATAAGAGATATAAGCAAAATGAGCTAAGGTTATACTTAAAGAATAAATACATAAAACTAGCTGGTCTGCTGGAAACTAGAGTTAAAGAAACCAGAGTCAATAGGGTTTTCAAAAATATATTACCAAGATGGGCAATTCAATGCAATTACCAAAGTGTAGTGAATGGAAGAATATGGCTTAACTGGGATCCTAATTTATACTGTGTGGATATTGATAGAGTAGAGCCTCAACTAATTCACTACCTTATTAAGGGTCGGATGTATGGTTTTGAAACATACTTTACGTTAGTATATGGCTTTAATACAGTAGAACAGAGAAAGTCTCTATGGACAAGTTCGAATGATATTTCTGTACATATGACCAAGCCTTGGCTAATAAGTAGAGATTTCTGCACACGCAGAATAGGTTGTATGGGAATACAGTCACAATGAATGAAATGGTTGACTTCTCATACTGCATTCGTAACCTTTTTTTTTAATGAGCTGCCATGAAAAGGAGAATACTATACTTGGTCGAATAAACAACAAGGAGCTGACGGAATACTTAGCCGGATTGATAGAGTATTTGGCAATGATATGTGGATGATGAACTGGGGCAATGTGTGCACTGAGTATGACAATCCATTCATATCTGATCACTCACCTATGTTACTCAATATAAAATCTGTAAGGTTTAATATTAAATCATCTTTTAGATTCTTTAATGTGTGGACAGCTCATGAGGATTTTGAGCAATGTTGGAGAAAATATGGAAGAGGAGAGTGGCTGGGGATAAAATGGAGGACATCTGGGAAAAACTCAAAGCCCTTAAACCATTGTTCAGAAGGCTTAAAACTGAAGAATATAAGGGCATAACATAGAGAAGTGAGAATGCTAGGTTGGAGCTCATCACAATACAGGAAAAGATGCAACAACACTACACTGACAACCTACTTGAACAAGAGAAGCACATACTACAGGAGTTAGAGAAATGGTCTTTAATGAAAGAGAGCATTCTGAAGCAAAAGTCAAGGGAAAAATGGATCACTCTAGGTGATGCTAACACTAAGTATTTCTCTGCTATTATGAAAGAAAGAAGCCACAGGAAACAGATTTTGGAGATTACAACTATGGATGGATGGAAGCTAACTACTCCTGCTAGCATCAAGAAGAGTTTGTCAACTTTTATAAAAATCTGATGGGCTCTTCTGCCAATTCATTGCCAGCAATCAATAAAGAGATTATGCAAAATGGTCCCAAGCTCACTCATGATCAACAACTCAGCTTAATTGCAGAAGTCTTAGAGAAGGAGATATATGAAAGTCTATGTGCTATCCATGAGGACAAGGCTCTTGGGGTTGATGGCTATAATTCATGCTTCTTTAAAACGGCATGGCCTATAATTAAACAAGAGATAGTGAAAGCAGTCCAGGAGTTTTTCATTACTGGTAGGCTCTACAAAGCTATAAATTGCACATCAATCACCCCTGTCCCTAAAGTGAGTAATCCAACAACAGCAAAGGAATTCAGACCATTGCTTGCTGCATTGTCCTATATAAGATCATATCTAAAATACTAGCAAATAGACTGCAAAGAGTAATTGATAGTGTTATAAGTGAAGCTCAAGCAATTCATTCCTGGGAGGAAAATAGTAGACAACACAATTCTATTCCATGAGCTTGTTAAGGCATACACAAGGAAGAACTCCTCTCCAAGATGTATGATTAAAATTGACCTAAGAAGAGCGTATGATTCTATGGAATGGTTTTTTTTTGGAGCAGGTGATGGTAGAACTGGGATTTCCTAGTAGGTTTCAACAGTGGGTGCTAGCTTGTGTGAAAACAGTGAGCTACTCTATTATTATAAACGGGGAACCTTCAGAGCCATTCCCAGCAGCTAAAGGGTTGAGGCAGGGAGATCCTATGTCTCCTTTCCTTTTTGCAATTGCTATGGAGTGCTTGAGCTGATGCCTAAATGGATTGAAAAAGAAGCGTGGTTTCAAATATCATCCCAGATGTTCCAAGCACGGAATCACTCATCTTAGCTTTGCGGATGATCTGTTGTTCTTTGCAAGGGGTGATATGATCATCCGTCAACAGCAATGCCTCAATCAATTTATGAAGCGTCAGGCTTGAAAGCTAACCGAGAAGAGCTCAATCTACTTTGGAAGAGTTACACAATTGGTAAGAGAAAAGATATTGCAGAAGCTAGGATATGCCAGAGGTGAATTACCAGTCAAGTATTTAGGAGTCCCTTTGTCCACTAAGAAGATGTCAATAGCCTAATGGCAACCCCTCATTGAGAAAATGGCAGCAAGAATCTCATCATGGACTGCAAAAAAGCTCTCATATGCTGGTCGGATACAATTAGTGCAGTCTGTCCTGTTTGGCATCCAAGCTTACTGGTCACAGCTGTTCTTGATCCCTATTAAAGTGCTGAAGATAATCAAAGCCTACTGTAGGAGCTATGTTTGGTCGGAAGAGAATGTCATCACAAGAACATTACTAGTGGCTTGGGAGAAAATATGTACACCTAAAAGTGCAGGTGGACTTAATTTAATCAACCTCAAAGTGTGGAATAGAGAAGCAACAACAAAGAATCATTGGGTTCTTGCACACAAAGGAGATAAAATGTGGATCAAATGAATACATGCCTACTACATAAAAGGGAAACATATTTCTGATATGCCAATACCACAGCAGGCCTCTTAGCTAGTCAGAAAGATGATTGAGGCAAGGGATTGGTGAAACCAACTCAAATTCTGACCAAGAGAAACACTAGCATGATCAAACAAATATACTATCTGGTGCTTGGTCAATTACCTAGAGTGGAATGGAAGCTGTTTATGTTTGGGAATGATGCAAGGGCTAAAGCTAAATTCACCATGTGGCTGTATTTTTAGGACAGGACATTGACTAGTGATAGGATGGCTCAATGGGGAATGCAGGTGGATACTCTATGCGTACTATGCCAATCCTATGATGAAAGCAGAAATCATATGTTTGTTGAATGTGAGTTTGCCAAGAGAATATAGAAGAGGATACTACGATGGATGCAAAGACAACCTTACTGTGCAAATTCATGGAACCAACATTGGAAACAGGCAGTGGAACATGCAAAAGGGAAATCAAGGAATGCAGAATTCTTCAAAATGGTATATGCTGAGACAATACACATGATTTGGAATGAGAGAAATCTCAGAATTTGAGAAACATAGCAGGGAAGTAGAAGAGTTATCTAGAACTGTTGCATGTGTCTGTAATGTGAGAGCTTCTGCTCAAACTAGAACACTCATGCATCAGCTTAAATTTTGAGTTAGAAGTAGACTAGCACATAGGATTTGAGGATTATTGATGTATGTACAGGTATAGATAGGCATTTTAGATGAGGCGGGGGGCTGATATAAAAGTCATCTGTGGTTTTGTAAAGTTATATTGGTGATTAATGAAAAATGTTTAATTACCAAAAAAGAAAAAAAATTCGGTTCAACCACTGTTGATACGCATGAATCAAACGCATCCTTTTCTAGGGAAGGCGACTTCACATGAACGCTAAATATTATGGTATCCTAATTCAGTTAAATTCATCACGTTGTGGCTGCATATTGTTGGTCTCTTTGTCTGACTTCTATTAAGAAATTTTTACACTCTCATTATGAATCTTGTTTCCTCCCATTGGAAAAACCTACCGGCCCACTACTGGAAAAAGGCGAATTACCTTGGGATTTTCCTAGGGATAATATAACAAAATCCGCAGGTAACTTGATTTTCTGCGGAATTTCCTACCAAAATAAATCCGTTGGAAAAACCTTCGTAGGTAATTATTACCTGGGAATTAAAATATCCCCAGGTAAATTACCTGAGGATTTTGTATCCCCATGTAACTTACTTGCGGATTTATCAACGAAACATATAAAAAAAATCGCAAGAGTACTTTGGTAAAACTTCGTAAACAAAAGAATTTTTCTTGGGAATTTTCGTAGGAAGAGATCCGCAGGTTATTCCCCATGAAGATCCTCAAGTAAGTCCGTAGAAAATTTTAAGGTGAAAATTATGGACAAAAGGGATTTTCTTGTGAATATTTATGAAAATATTTCGTAGGAAAATTCTTTTGAAAAGCCCCAAGTAAAATTCGCAGGAGCACATTTTCGCAAGAAATTCTCCATGAAAATTTTGCATGTAAAACCCCAGAAAAAATCCCAAGTAATAAATATTCGCAGTTAAATCACCATGCAAAATTTCCAATGAAGCGAAAGAATTATTTGAAATTTTCATATAAAATCAACGGTTTTCAAAAGAAATTAATGAGATTTAATTGATGAGAAATTGATGAGATGATTAAATCTCAGGTGCGTGCTTCCAATGCTGACTTATATATTGAGTTGCAAGAAGAGCGGCGCAAAAATAAAAAGATGAGGAAGGAATTAGACTTATTGAAGAAGTATGTGAATTTCAATGCATCATCTTCAAATGAGTTATCGTCTCAAGAAGACAATCAAGGATCTGAGATTGAAAGTGACGATGACTCTGATAATGTGAATGAAAGTGGTTCTAACCCTGGTAACGTGAATGAAAGTGACTATAATTAGGATTGAGATGTTCATTAGACTATTAAGTTTCACATTTGCGATATTTTGCTTTTTGATTAAGGATTATATGTTATTAATATTATATGTTATCTCATCAAATTCTTTTGAAAAGCGTTGATTTTATATGGGAATTTACCTGCAAAAAAATTACATGGGGATTTTTTAACCAATACTACATACGGATTTTCCTATGAAAAAGTATTACTTTGGGATTTTCTTTGGGATTTCAAATAATTCTTTCGCTTCATTGGAAATTTTACATGGTGATTTACCTGCGAATATTTATTACTTGGGATTTTTTTGGGGTTTTATATGCAAAATTTTAACAGGAAATTTCTTGCGAAAATGTGCTCCTACAGATTTTATGGGGCTTTTCAAAATAATTTTCCTGCGGAATATTTTCATAAATATTCACAAGAAACTCCCTTTCGTCCATAATTTTCACCTCAAAATTTTTACGGACTTACTTGAGGATCTTCATGGGGAATTACCTGCGGATTTCTTCCTACAAAAATTCCCAAGAAAAATCCTTTTGTTTACGGATTTTTACCAAAGTACTCTTGCGATTTTTTTGATATGTTTCGTTGATAAATCTGCAAGTAAGTTACATGGGGATACAAAATCCTCGGTTAATTTACCTGGGGATATTTTAATTCCCAGGTAATAATTACCTACAAAAGTTTTTCCAACAGATTTATTTTGGTAGGAAATTCCATAGAAAATCAAGTTACCTGCGGATTTTGTTATATTATCCCAAGGAAAATCCCTAAGTAATCAAGTTACCTTATCCTTTATGAATTCATGCTTCACCGAGGACTGATCCCTGTCATGTCTAAATGGGACCAAGCAAAACAATCCATGTTATCGATAAGAAATTGAATGAGTTTTTTCCTGAGTTTGGGGGTTAACCCCGTTCCCAGGTATACCTTTCTCTCGGGCATGTACTCGATCGGTATGACTTGTTCCAGCTCCTCGACCGTTGACTTGGTTGCATCTGAATCTTCGGGAATAACGAAAGTTCGAGGAGTAAGTAGATCCTCTTCTTCTTCTTCGATTAACTGCTTCTCCGATTTAGTCGAGGCTGGGGATGATGATTGCTATTTGGCCGTCTGCTTATCTTTGGTGCTCGACTTTTCTGAGGTCGAAGGCGCTGGTACCGATATCACCTCATCGACTGCAAACATCTCCTTTGCAGCGTGTTGTTCCCTGTAAACTATTTTCACACCATCCACTATTGGGAATTTCATTATCTGATGAAGGGCTGAAGGTATTGTCCTCATGTTGTGGATCCATGGCCTCCCGAGTAGTGCGTTATATCTCATGTCGCCTTCAATGACATGGAATTTTGTATCTTGGATGGTCCCGTCCACATTTACTGGTAGGATTATCTCCCCCTTTGTTGTTTCACTCGCCATGTTGAAGCCGTTTAAGACTCGAGATCCAGGTAAACTTTGGTCCTGCAGGCCGAGCTGCTCTACGACCCTCGATCTGATTATGTTTGCTGAACTACTTGGATCCACGAGAACACACTTAACTTGAATTTTATTTAACAAAATAGAATTTACAGGGCGTCATTGTGCGGCTGAGAAATGCCTTCCGCTTCCTCGTCATTGAATGATAGGATGCCCTCGGACATATAGCTCCGAGTTTGTTTTTCTCTGGTAATCGACACCTTGGTACGTTTGAATATAGGCCCTTGTGGAACATCGGCACCGCCAACGATCATATGAATTACATGTTGCGATTCTTCTTGCTCATTCTTCTTGTTGGCGTCTCTTTCCCTGAAGTGGTTCTTAGCTCGATCACTGAGAAATTCTCGAAGATGAGCCTCCTTGAACAATCGAGCTACCTCCTCCCTCAGCTGCCTGCAGTCTTCGGTCCTATGGCCATGTGTGCCATGATATTTACACATCAAGTTTGGATTTCTTTGAGAAGGATCGGTTTGTATAGGCCTGTGCCACCTTGTGTCTTTGATCCTTCCAATAGCTGATACGATCCCTGATGCATCAACACTGAAATTATACTCCGATAAACGAGGTGCTTCCGCGGGATCGGTGTGTTTATCAAAACCATTCTTACTCATAAGTCCTCGAGAGCTTTGACCTCGATCATTTCTTCGATCGTTCCGAGGAGCGTTACACCCCGAACCGTTGTTTCTCCGATCCGCGACATATGGCTGATATCGCTCCCTGTTTGATCTTGGTTCCCTGTCTGTATCCCTCGGGGCCTTAACTGCCAATCGATTTTGATGAACTGAGCCCGAGGGGGCTCCCAGCTGGTCGTCCTCGACCCTGATCTTTGACTGATAACGGTTATGTACATCTGCCCAAGTCACAGCTGGATACTCGATCAGATTTTGCTTCAACTGTCGTGACGCGA